TCCTTTGGAGCGCCCCGGAGATGCGAACCAGTTGCAACTTCCATGGCCTTTTGCGGAATTGCCTTTCCAGGGCTTCTGGTTACCGCCCGCGAACTTGGACTTGGCACCCTTGCCTTTGGAGGGCTTCCCTTTTCCAAGGTCCTTGGCCTTGGACCTGAACGACGTCTGCCTTTCCGCCTCTCCACCGCCTCCCGGCCTGCGGCAGAACTCATGCACCGGGCGAGTTCAGAAGAGGACATCGGTCTTGATTTGGCTCAGTGCCTTGGAAATGGAGACTGTGTCGTCCATGAACATGCTGAGCGCCACTCGGTGCCAGACTTTACGCTCAGCTGTCATCATGACACCTAGACTCGGGGCGCTCCCTCCCCATGACGTCTTCCCCAAGCATGTAGTCATAGAACTCATCCAGCTCATCTTTGGTGAGCGAGGAAACCGATGCCACCACCATCACGAGGGGCCCGCCAGATCATCAGCATGCGCTTCCATTGTTTCTCTGAGGAGGCTCCATAGGACTCCTCTATGATCCGCGTCCTCTTTGGATTGCCTCCTCTGGTATTTAAGTTCCCCCGGCTTGGGGTGTAGAGCCACAACCTTGTTGAGGTCCAGCAGGGTGCCCGTCGGGAACTCCCCTCTCAAAAGGATCCGCTTGAGCACCCCCAGCATGTGGTCCGATCCTTCGAACTCCACCTCCGGCTTGGTTCTGAACCTTAGTTGGTATGCCGCTCTCATCTCATTGCGATCTTTTCTGGCCAGCATGGCCCTGTGGTCCACCACCGCACAAATCTCCAGCTCGCTCAGCTTCCTCTTCTTGAGGCTCCTGAAGGCATCCAGTGAGGCGTGTGGTGTGGAGGAGGACCATCTCCCTCCCGGATGAGCGTATCATCCAGGACCTTCTCACCGACGGTGTTTCACGTAATCGGAGATTGGATCCACTGGCGATTTCAAGACCATTTTCTGGTTCTACGCTGACCCTTTGAAACGCACCGCCTGGAACGCGTCAATGTGTCCGAACATTCACGACGACGGGAATCGCCGGGCAGTTCAGCTCAATGATTCCGCTATGACCGAGTACATCGTCATGAAGAGTTCTCCAGCCTGATTACCGCAAGGATCGATGTGGCTGTGGTATAGCCGTTGAGCTTGTCCGCAAACCCCAGATCTTCCGGGGCCTTGGTGCGGACTTCCGCCTCAGTCCACCGCCCGCACCAGGTGGGTGACAAAGCCTGCGCTCGCCATCTGAGCCATGAGCTGTTGGGTGAGGATTTGCCTTGCATGCTCCTCAATCTTGTCGACCCAGTCCGCATACACCTTGGGACGGCAGAGGGGGTTCTCGCTCAAGTGTCCCCCTCTTTGATCTCCTCCGTCGGCCGTTTGAGGTCGAAGGCCATAGGGAGTGGAGGGTGGGAAAACAAAGGCGAAACCGAGGTCCCCCGTAAGTCAGCCAAAATGGCCCGAGAAAGGCGATCAACCGAGTGCCAGCAAGGTCGAGAGAGCTAACAGCACTTGGCACTATGACATCCCAGTTTTCGATGACATAAGAAACGGTCAAAACTCCCCATCCCTTCTTATGGGTAACTCATTTTGGCAGCCACGACCAACAACTTGGTTGACTTGAATTCTATAGCAAGTAGGCTCATCACAAGCGTGGTTCAAAGGCGAGGCAAGTTGGAAGTTTCACAACCGTCAGCTCCATCCGCTGACTGTGGGAAAAGCATTTCAGCCTCAGAAGCTAGCTGAGTCGTTCAACTACAGCGAGAAAACATCTATCCAACACGATGTGCAGAATTTCAGCGGTCGCACCTGTCCGTGTCTGGCACCGTCCCCTATGACGTACCTAGCTTTCATTGTGGCTCTGGGCACCGCCTGCGCGCATTTTTTGAGCGCTAGCGCGACTTCTCCAGCAGCGTAGTAAATATCGCCGGGTTGAGTGACACTGCTCCAGGAAACTCAGTTCTCCGAGACCAATTCTTCGATTGTTGCTCCGACTACATATCTAGCATCATGCATGGAAACACAGACTCTTGGCTTGTGCTCACACGGTGAAACTGCCACTGGGGCCAGGCAACTCCGTTGACGAGAAAACAATAGCCGATAGCACGACTCTTGCCCGAAAAAAAGAAAAGAAAACAGCGTGGGTCGAACACACGCTGTGCTCACGGACAGGTGTGAAACCGCTTCTGGGGCCAAGAAACATCCTGGCTCCCAAGCATGGCTCAGCACAACCTCTTGGCTTGTGTTCATAAATAATGCAAGAAAATGTTCAGCGTCAGTTCAATCAGGAAAGGCAAAAGCGGCAGCAAACTGGTCTCGCTGGTTTTCGCCAGTGCCAGCTCCATACCTGCCTCCAAAACTCCCACCACGATGCACTGGATTGGCGCCAAACAAATCGAGCAAAGCAGCTTGCTCCTGAAGAACGGGATCTTCCGCAACTTCCACAAGTGCCTCGAGAACGTCAGGGAGAAGAGCATCACCAAGAATAAGTGCAACCAGTGTATGACCAGCCGCGCACACCACGCGGCATAGTCAAAACCGGACATTGGCAACGCAGGGCCGCGGCTGATGTCCCAAATCACAGTTGACAGCTCCGGCAAGTTGCTCACCAACACTAAGCTCGCCATGTACTTGAGGCCAAAATTGAGACGCAGTTGGCGAAGTATCTGAGGCCTCAACTCCTCCTGGACGCGCTTGTTGAAACTGTCCAGCGGGTCTCCTTGCATGTTTTGCATGGAATAGAGGTTGGCGAGCATCTCATAGACCAGTTGACGGTCACAGATCATTTCTTCGCCGGAGTCTGGATGTTTGTGACTGTTGCTGCAACAGAAACATTCACAGGCTTGTATTTGAAAGCTTTCCAATTGCTGGGGTAGCTGGTCCAAGTCATCCATCAGGCCTAGACCATAGTAGTTCACAAGAGGTATTACCAGGGACACGCAGGGAGAATACACTGCACACAAAAAGATGAGGTCTGAGTGGGAGTCGCCGGCAAGAGCCTCCCGCGCCAAGACGAAGCTGAAAATAATCACGTGCCACAGAGTCGACATCAAGAAAAAGATGGCAGCGACTGTGACGGGAAGAATTTCTAGCTGCTCCATTGGCCGATAATTCAGAAAGCATGCGACCTCATAGGCACACCACAAGCGGCCCGAAGGTTCTCTTGGACCACAACATGAGAAGCCTGTTGGATCGACGGACGAAGGCTCCAAGGCCCAATATTCCCATCTGTTTCAGCTCATCGTTCTCTTGATGGATGCAGAGCTTGTCCAGGAACACCATCCAAGGTGAGACCAAGCAGCTCCTGATCCTCTGCCAGAAGAACAGGACGACCAGAAAAACCGGGTAGCAAGAAAAGGTCCAGAGCTCCCCTTGCAATATGGTCCCCAGTTGCGTCTTAGCCACACCAAGCGCGATGCTCCAGAGCAAGGATGCTATGGCCGCAGCGCGGGAGTTGAACTAGAGCACAAGGGCCAATAGCTTCATCCAGCGTGACGTCGCCCAGTCGTGGCTCAGGAAGACGTCGATAGACAGAACAGCCCTGCTCAAGTTGAACAAAGCGCCCCGTTCGGGTCCACAGCTCAATCCGGCCCAATGTTGGCAAAACCCACTTAGAGCCGCAAACAGTGGCGTACCCCGCAAGAGCTCGGGCTTCAATCTCAAACTCAGGCTCACATTGCTGGTCATGCTGCCGGTCTTGCCCACAGGGCTTGTGGAGCTTTCAGTTTCGGACAGCCATGAGATGCCAGCTTCTCTGCATTCGTCCCCATTGATCAGATCCGCGACATGCGGCAGGTCCTTGCCCATGACATCCCTCAGATCTGTCACACTCAGATCAATGTCCTCATCCATGACATCCGACAGATCCGCCACATCCATTTCCTCGACATCCGTGAGATCTCTCACGTCTGTCGCCATGGGCTCGCAGGATGTCGAAAACTTGCTGCGGAATGCTATGAATCCACGAACAACTCACCATGAATGTGCTCCGGGGTGTCCTGTGACTTTCTCTGAAGCCTTTTTCTGGCTTTGGCAGGGTTGCGGGAAACGACCACTTCTGCGATACAACAAAAAAGGGCTTTCCAAAGACTAATCCCCTCAGGGGAGATTCCTTGGTATCACGGTGGGAATAAAGCCCTTACGAAACCATTTGGCGTCTAAAAACTCCATGGCCATGTAAAGGCGGGGAAAAAAGATTCCTGAAACATGCGCGCTGACAAAGACTCAACCAAATCAGCAATAACATGCAATCCCAACAACATGTTCCAAACAATGTGACTTCAACGAATCACCCCAGCATAAGGTTCGTTGGAAAACACTTGTGAAATATCGGTCGGGTTTTGCCGAATGGGTTGTTGTTCTACGGGTTTCAGGGGCTCACCTACTTCAACCCCAGACCTGAGGCCATGAGTTAAGGCCGAGGGAAAGCCCTGGGCACCACCCAAGGTCTGGGAGTCACCTGGAGGTTTGGTCGTTAGAGACCAGCATCCACAATGCTCATCCCCTTTCCTTGCAAATCCGCAAACAAAGAGAAGCAGGGTTGCTTATCTTTTTTCCTCTTCGACCACACGATCCAACTCAGAACCCATGGCTGGCTCAAGGCAGGCTTCCCTTGTCTTGGTTGCTGGAAGGACCCCTCTGCAAAACGTTGTTCATGTTTCAACAAGTTAACTTCCAAAGATCTGCTACCAACTAGCCGTCAAAGTTTGTCTTGGTCTGGCTTGGTGGCTTGGATTTTGCTTTCCCATTTATCCTCTCCACGAACCAGAACATCAAATCCAAATCCAAATCCCGCCGGAGTTCCAAAAAAAAGCCAAACCGCCGTATCCCCAAGAACGGCTGCAAAACCGCCGGACTTGGCCAACAACAACACAAAACGCAGGTGGGCCTCAAGAAGTCCCGAAAAAGAACAAAGCGCCCTAAAATGCCCTAAAAAAGCCCAAAGCGGCCAACGAGCACCGAACCCCCCGAAACAACCCCCGCAGCCGCCGAAAAACGAGGCCGACGGCCTGGGCGCGGCAGGCGTTGTAGGCCGCGCAGTTGGTGCCCATCCGGCGCTGCAGGCGGCACACCGCGGTGTCCACCTCCAGCTGCTTCCGGTCGCACGCCTCACCCGCTGACGGGGGGGACGGGGGGGTCGGGAGGGGCGGGGTGGGGTCCCGGTTTTTGTCCGTGGCGCGGGGCTGGAAGGTGGCGGAATTCGAAGGACGCGACAAATGCACCCCGCCCACAAAACAGCGGGGTGTGAAAACATGGTGGTTGCCGTATCTTGGTCAACGTCCAGCCCAAAAACTAGGATTTACGTCTTTTCGTCCGATTCGACTCGATCCATTCAAGGCGCAGCTTTCTGGTCTGCGAAGTGTTCGCCGGTCAGGGCGCAGGCGCCCTGCTGGTCTTTGACCTGCAAGTTCGCCTGAAAGCGTGGGTAGTCGCGGGCCTCTGGTTCAACAGCATGCAGGGTAAGTGAGTGAGTGAGCGAGTGAGTGAACGAACGAGGGAGTGAGTGAGTTGGGTGAGTGAGTGAGTGGGTGAGTGAGTGAGTGGGTGAGTGAGTGAGGGAGCGAGCGAGTGAGTGGGTGAGTGAGTGGGTGAGTGAGCGAGTGGGTGAGTGAGTGAGCGGGTGAGTGAGTGAGTGAGGGAGCGAGGGAGTGAGTGAGTGAGTGGGTGAGTGAGTGAGTGAGGGAGCGAGCGAGGGAGTGAGTGGGTGGGTGAGTGAGTGAGTGGGCGAGTGAGGGAGGGAGCGAGCGAGCGAGTGGGTGAGTGAGGGAGCGAGCGAGCGAGCGAGTGAGTGGGTGAGTGAGTGAGTGAGTGGGTGAGTGAGTGAGGGAGGGAGGGAGCGAGCGAGTGGGTCAGTGAGTAAGTGGGTGAGTGAGAGAGTGAGCGAGTGAGTGGGTGAGTGAGTGTGAGTGAGTGAGTGAGTGAGTGAGTGAGTGGCTGAGTGAGTGAGTGGGTGGGTGGGTGGGTGGGTGGGTGGGTGGGGGTGGGGTGGGGTGGGGTGGGGTGGGGTGGGGTGGAGTGGAGGTAGTTGGGTTGAGTTGAGCTTAAGTTGAGGTGATTTAGCTGAGTTGGGTATGACGGAGCGACTGAGTGACGGTTTGGCAGTTTGGACCTTGGGGGGTGCCCAATTGAGGGGTACCTCATTAACATGGCCAAAAGAACTAAAAACACCAAGGACAAACAATAGGCTTTCGCGAGCTGGGCATCATCCAAAAAGACAACAAGGTAAAATCCCGCCGGCTTTCCAAAGAGAGGTTTTCACCTACCAAAACAGGTTGCCACCTATGCTTCCACTTGAATCACCCCAACAAAACACGTCACTTCAAACTCATTTCGCCAATTGATGGCGTTTTTTCAAGCCACAAGCGGAACATATCAGGATCCCTAAAAGAGGTCCACCAGGTGGGTATGTGTCAAAAGCTAAATTCCCCCCCCCCTTTCGCCCTTTTGGTGCGACTGTCCTTTCGGCTTCCCATGACAAGCCCGCCAAAAACGGGGCAGGGTCATATTGACCCCGAATTAATAAACCTGTCCCATTATTTGGGGGCCCCGTGTTCCCTCCAAAAGTGATCTGAATCCAACCACTAAAAGGGGACACCCCCTCCTATTAATCAACCAGGGGTGTATTAATCTGGGGTCAACATTCCCGAGCCTCCCAAACTTCCCTCCCCAGCCCGGTCACCTCCCGGCCTCTTGGCAGCCCTTCTGGCGCTCCAGGAGAAGGTCGAGGCCATGGCGAAACTCCTAGGGAGGTCCAGGAGGATCCCCCAAATCGAAGCTTCTCCAGGGTTCGGATTGAGCCCAGAGAGGTTAGAATAAGTTAAGGTACCTTATTCTTGTTTTTGTCGATTTTAGTAGGGGAACCCTCCCAACCCAAAAAGGGGTGAGAAAGGGCACCTAGGACTCGCGGACTTCGCTGGGGAACTGGGAAAACCCTACGAAATATGGGCCGCAGCCTCTAGCTCTGCGACCGTCGCCCCGGGAGCTGCCACCGGCAAGGCACACCACGCTCAACGTGGCGGCTTCGCCCGTGGCGCTGCTTTGAATTTCTGCTTCTGCTTTGTGAGGAAGGCGGACATGGATCGTCGGATCTGAAACTCCAGAAAACGAGATCCCGCTCCAAGGTAAACCCGGAAAATGGTGCTCGCGTTCTCAAGGCCAGGGCGTCCAATCCCAATCAATAACAAGTTGATACATCCTGTAGCCGGCCAAAGTGCATGCCTCACTCAGGCATTTCAGTTGCTACTGAGTTGATGAAGGCTGCGAGGGCCCGGTCCAAAAGCAATGCAACAAGTTTACCTCACCAAATGCCCATACGCTGAACCAAACACATCCTAGCGTGCTGAATTTGGCCAGCCCAAGCGAAACCAACAGCAAAACAGCCATTTTGGGGGGGTCCCCCCCAAAAAAAAGGACACTTTTAAATGGAGATCTCCAGAGGTACACCCTCCAGTCCAATGTCTTCCGATTCTCCTTGATCTTTCGCTCATGGAACGCCTCGACGTCCTCATCCATCGCGGCGTTGCAAACAGAGATGTCCGGCACCCGCCTGAGGTCTCTGGGCCCACGGTTCGAAATGGACGCAGAGATGTCACCCCTCCCACGAACATAGCATTTGACACAGGTGCTACGTTTGTGGAAGGGGCTCACTCGGTGAGTGCCCAACATGGCCCTTGGGTAAATGAAACAAAGGCCAAAGCCTAGCTGATTATCTTGACCCAAGTGTGGAACAAAGTGAGCGTGATATTGCGGGAAATTGAACAATTGGAACAACCAAACTTTGGCTACCTTTGTTGGGGCGGTAATCAAACAAGTATTGGCCGTGGTTTGGGCAATTGAATTGGTTGGGGTACGGTGGTCTAAGGGGGCTCAGGGTCAGCCAGGAGCGAGCCAAATGCATTGTTGCTAGCCCCCCCCCCCCACCCCCCCACCCCCCACCCCCCGCATATGATGATTTCCTGAGTTGCGAGCTCGTTTGTTTACACTAATGAAATGACCAACTGTGCCGCACCACCATAATATGCATATACATATGGACACACATTTTATGTGTATATATATATATATCCAGAAACCATCTGATTGATGGGTTCTCAGCCCGAGGTTACCTTGGGCTGCCATAGGGGTCTAACACAGGGGAAGCTAATGGGCGAGTCGACTCGTCGACATGCTTATCTCCCGCCAGGGGGCGCGGTGCTGTGGAAGAGCTGGCACTTGGCCTCCTTGGCAGTGACGGAGGCGTTCAGCAGAGTCTCGCAGGACCTCAGCAAATTCAACCAAAGCCCTCCCTGTTTCCCTCAGGAGCCCTGGCTTTAAATATGTGGTCCAAACCAGCATGGAAAAAGAACAAATGCAATTCAACCGAAGCACTCCCTGTTTTTTCTCCCCCACAAGATGTGGTCCAAGCCACCTTTGTTTCAACACTCTCCTTGTGGCCGCTCTCAATTTGAGAGCACCTGGGTAAATGTCAAACTCAGAGCAATCTGGAGGACCAGGTGGGTTGGTCCCCTAGCAGATTGCTCGGATGGTCCTCGGATTGACCCGAGGTCAACTTGTTTGTTCCTAACTTGTGCAGGGGTCCTCCTCTGCCACTTGCTTAATATTGTTTATTTAGCCTCATTGGCCTCATTGGAGTAAGCGCATGTTAAGCTAGCCACGTAATAAGGTCTGAGTGGGCAGTAACTTCGCTGAACTTGGCCTTGATAAGGCATAAGAACTTAACTTGGGCTGAATACGGCCTAGCTTAATAAGCTTATAGGGCTTATTCAGGACGTGCTATTTTGAATAGACCCCACTCCCAGATGCCCCTCCGTGACCTTTTGGTGGTTTTAACATCGCCTCCGGTCAAATGTCAGTGACTTTCCTCGCGGGTAAAATTCCAAAAAACAACGCATCTTACCTCGGTTTTGCCACCGACCCACTGCAATGCCCCGTTGGGCGCATCCTAGGTCCTCCAGTAGAGAGGTTAGAATAAGGTTAGCCTTCTTTCTGTAGTCTATTTTAGGGGAACCCTCCCCAAAAAAGAAACGGTTAAAGGGCACTAGCTGCGGGACCTAGCCTCCTTCAGGGCCCGCCCGGCGCTTCTTTTCTTCCATTTGGTTCAGACCCCGGGCAAAAATATGTCCAGTAGCGATAGAAGGGAAAATACATATTCTTCAGCCAATGGAAGTTTCGGGTAAGGCCCCCGGCAGCTTCTCGTCCAGCGAGATGACCTGCTGCCGGCGGCAGGCGTTGTGCTCCTCCGCCCCGGCGGCCACTGCGCGCTGCACCGTGACCTTGCAACACGAAGGCGGGGGCCTCTACCGGGGGGGGGGAGGGAAGGAGGGAGGCTTGTTGATCGAGTCCTGGGGGGATATGGGATGTGAATTCTTGTCTCGTTTGGGGCCCCCAAAGCCCTGTTTGTGGAACCCCCTACTTTGTTTTCGTTTTGTCTCTTTGTCCCTGAGCCTGCCACCCCTCTTTTTCAGTCCACCCGAAATGGGCCAAGACCTCCGAGGTCCGAACCTCCGACCCCCCCCCACCGAGGCGCGGAGTCCTTGAAGTTCGAGAGCTGCTCCTCCTCGCCTGCTGAGACGAGCCCAAGCCGGGCCCGGAAGGATTTGTTGGGCGACGCTCACTTCAGTGGATTTGCAGGGGAAAAAGAGTGACAAACCTCATGTGCGACAAAACCACCGACAAAAAGCACGAGATGTTTTGTTTGGTTCTTTTTAAGGCACTAAATCCCCAAGCGGATGTGCGAGAAAAACCAACCACATCTCTACATATATATATATATATCATGGTGTTCTTGTTGGCCGCTAAAGTGGTCTTCCCAAAACAAAATCTGGCAGGAGACTCAGGCTGTGGGATACGTTCTGGACCCCACGTGGTGGATGTCATTTTCGCAGGTTTTCTGCGGACCCCAATTGCTCGCATTCCAGGGGTATAGGCTTGATGTCATGCAAAGCTAAGCTCACTTCCTGAGATGTGCCACTACGAGTGTCCAGGCCTTCAGGAAATGAGAGGGTGCAGATGGGTGCAGTCAGAATCCGAAACGTGCAGTACAGTATGTACAAGTCATCTGTCAGGGAAGATGCCCATGGCGTTGTGATCGAGAAAGCACATCACTGCACGGAAGGTTGACGTCAGCCATACTTGTGAAGCTAAGCCCCGTCAAGCCGGATCACAATCTTGCAAAAGGGACCTTAGCATTCCATGAAGGAACCAAGTAACCAAACCTGGCACAGGGATCTACCCAAACACATGGTAAATCACAAGTTGGCGGATTTTTGCAACTAGTAAGATAGTTCCTAGCCTGGTTTTGATTAAAACTGCTTGTTGGCCCGGTCAATTTCCCCAACTTCACACGAGAAGCCACGCCTCACAGGTGCTTAAAGACCGCCTTTCTCAGGACAGGCAGTGAGTTTGGGGAAATTCTCATATTGCTTTTGGGTCCAAAGGTGGCTTCGCTTTATTCTGGGCGGTTTGCGTCAAGCACCCAGGGGTGCACAAACTTGCTGGTGCTCAGTAGGGAATGAGGGAAAGAAGACAGGGGCTGAAAGGATGCCACAAGAGATGGTTTATAGGGGTCCTCTCGGCGACAAAGCGCGCTCCGGATTCGAAGGAAAACTCTTCACATTGCGGATCTCGGTTGACCGACCAACCAACCAATCAACCAACCAGGGGAGGTTACATGGCCGTGGGAAATGAGTCCCTTGGTATCGCAGAAAAATGACAACCTAAAACTCCAGTTTCCACAACTGATGGGGGCTGGAGGGGAGGGAGGGGAGGGGGAGGGATCCCAAACGAGGCCTTAATAGGGCTTATATGGGCTCGCTCCCCCCCACCTCCCTCCCCCCCAAGCCCCCATGAGCAACCAGTTCCAGGAAAATTGATTAATCATAAAACCAGCATGGAAAACAAATGGTTGCACATTTGGTGACAAGTCTATAACAAACTCAGCCCAACACAAATGAGCGGAACACCTATGTTGGTTCTCACGGGACGTGTAGTGTGATCCGTGAAAGTTCCCCGGGGAACAATATGGAACAACCTTCCCCCGCCCCCGTATAGGATGGACAATGTACGGGAAACATTGCTTGCTGGTGATCAATTGGGAATGACACAGGGTTTTGGGCCTAGGGATTCCCTTAAAGCAAAACAGATGGAATTGTTTCCAGGGGTCCTTCCCTCATTCCCTGCTGAGGCCGAGAACCAGCAAGATTGTGCCCATGGAAACATCTATGGGCAAGGGCCTGTGCCTCGTTTTTAGGGTACCCCGCATTTGTTGGCTTCAAATATTGAAAACTAAAAAAACAAAAAACGCAACATTCCGGGGTCCCCCCACACATCAGGTAAGCCAAGACACACCCATGCCACGAGACCCTCATGCCGTCCCATCTGACCGAGGAGCATCTGAGAAAGAGCTCATAGAACCCGCTAAGCTCCGATTGGGCCACGTGAAAGTCGCTCTTCACGGAGGGCTGCAAGGTGTTGTTGACGATATCGTCCACATCGCTCCTCAGTTGCGAACATCCGGACTGGACACGACTCTGGACACATCAAGAAACTAGTCATGTACTTGTGGCTTGCATTAAGCTAAGGCATGTAGTTGCCAGAAAAGAACCCAGTTGGGTGGACAGCGATCCGTTTGCCGCATGCTTGGGGGGGAAAGGGAGAGCAGGGCCTTGACCAAGTGTCAAAGGAGTTCGGAGCCAGCTTGGGGCAAATCGTTTTGGGGCAAATCATGCAAGGACCTGCAGCTACCGTAGGACCCAACAAGCATCAAGTGATTAAGTGTGACTTCCTGGAGTCTCCATGACCCTTCAAAAATGGGGTCATGAACCCCCTTCTTTTGGGCAACGGCCCCATTTTTTGAGGGTCATCGAGACTCCAGGTTGCGCAAATGGACAGGTCGATTCCAATTTTGAGTCGGCGCTTAGCGCCACGGTGCCCAGCAGAATACCCCCAAAAAGTGGTGTTAGGGTGGGGATCCTAACTCATCCGAAGTCAACCAGGAAAAGGGCCACCACAATTCAACGAGTTGAAATGCAATCCTTTTTTTGGGGAAAATAAGGGCCAACACAAGTCAAATAGGGCCAACTAGGCTTTGCTTGGAGAAACCCTTCTTGGTCTTGGGGAGGGGTCTTCGGTCCCGAATATCCGAATCCGAGCTGCAACATGTTCTCCACCGTGCCGTCGTCGCTCGAGTTGGAGGAGTTCGAGTTGGCAATGGACATCAATACCTCAAATGGAATCTATCACTGTCACCACTGGATTGTTTTTTTTCTTTTTCTCGGGGGTCTTAACCAAAATGGAAGTTAAGGGTCGGAACCACTTCGACAGTAAGACATGAATCCCCACCTAAACGAGGACAACCAAGGGCCCCCCAATTGAGATTCATGCCAATCTAGTCCAAGGAGACATTGTGACTAAATATGGACCTGCGGGGGTTGCCTGTTGTATGGACATTTAATTTGCCCGAAAAAGACTTGCAATACATCCAAAAACCATCTGCTTTTGGGGATTCTGCCAAGCAACCTGGCTCAAGTGTACTTCAAGTGGATGGCAAAAAATCCTACCATAGCCGTCCTTTTCCGAAAAAAATAGATGGGTCTGGTGGATTGTCACACCAGCTCAACTAGCAGGAATCGCCATCTATTTCTGCCAAGCCTAGACAGAAAAGGAGACCTCTGCCCTGTGGGTTTCCTTTGCCCTCTGCAAAGAAATCTGGCAGCTCTGGTAGTCTGGTTGTTCGCCCCGTGGGTTTCACCTGCGAGCCAGGGCGCCGCTTGGATCTTCGAGAGGTTCCGGCTCGCGAGGCCGGCGTCGAGGTCCGTTAAGAGCTCGGGGCCTCAAACAGAACCCCAGGGGCGTGGCGCCTTCGTGCTGAACGTCCCCGGCACCGGGGTCCCGGCGACGTCCCCGTGATTTTTTTTTGGACAAATCAGGCCCAACACTGGCCAGACTTCCATGTGTTGGAAGGTCGCGGTTGCAGCCAACTTCCCCCTAGACTCCTACAACACGAACCTCTGGACGGCTCCCTTCGAAAAAGCCGACTCAACGGGCCATATCGCCTGCCATCTCCGGCTTGGCCCACGCCAGGCCAACCCACGCGAGCCACCGCATGCTGCGCGGTGGCTAACCCCGCGGGTTCTCCGCGCGAGGCTCGGGGCGCCAGCTACATTTTCAGACCTTGAGCCGAGTTGCAGAAGCGGCGCAACTAGATGCACCGCCAGTTGCTTTTTCGACCCTGGAAAGAAATGAGAAACTAGTTCCAGCCTGGACCCCCAAACGAGCACAAATTTGTGGCAAACCCTTCTTTCGAGCAGTTTCTGCTTATAGGAGCACTTTTTCCTTATTCGAGTACTTATTAGGAAAAAGACAAATTTCGAGCAGAAATCAACTTCCATGGGATTTAGATGCTTTGGAGCGTGTGAGTTGTGCTGCCAGCGCCCACACCCTCCGCGTAGCAGGGGGTGGGGCAGGAAATTGCTCGAGCTGTGCTGTTCGGGCAACAAATGCGTGTTTGGTGGAAGCCTAACAAACACGCACATGCTTGACGCGTTTTTGCATTTTGGGGGCAGTTTGCAACCCGCAACCTCGAGCGCAATTTCCCGCAACTCGAGCGCAATTTCCCGCAAACGAGCGCAATTCTAAAGTGTCAGCGGGTCCGTTGTCCCGCGAACAAAAGCGCGCAAAGATATCCAGGTGCTCGAAAATGAAGATGCGCTGTCCACTGTGCACACATGTGACATATTGAGGCACGCTTGATGGGGTTGTGTGAGGTTTGGCGCCTCCAACATGCAATGATGCGCAAGCAAGGGCGCTCCCTCGAGCACTTATTTGGCCTCGAGCGCATTTTGCCTAAACGAGCGCTTTTGGGAGAAACGGGCACTTGTTCCCTCAAGCGGAAATTTGTGCTCGTTTGGGGGTCCCCAGGAGTAGTTGTTTTTCTTGATTCCCAAATTTCAAAACCCACAAGGGAAAATAATGAAAACGTCAGACATTCTTAAGATGGAAGTGCAGGTGGGAACCCATGAGCTCATTTGAGTGGCCAACAGAAGTATACCGCTAAGATGATCTTCCTAAAAGAAATGTCCAGGAACTCAGGAAGTGAGCCTGGGGTGAAACGAGTGGAAAAGTTCGACTGGTACACCAACTGGAAATCCAAACCTGCACATAGCGCGGATGTTCGCCACTGAATGACACAGCTGTTCTTCCGCCGAGTTCGGTGGCAACAAACCGGGTTGATCTGAGCAAAAGGTGGACTAACTTTTCTGGGCCCCTCAGATACTCGCGAAAAGTTTACCTTCTAATGGGTTTAATGGAAACTACCACTGAACACTAGAAGGCTAAAAGGCTAAGGGGATAGCTGGGAGCCACCAAGTTTTCAGGTCCAAGAGGAAAGCCATTTGGCATGGGTCAAAAGTAAACCACCAGGATGAACCGCAGGTGGTCGTCCTTGTTGCCATTTATATACCAGGGCAGCCCATTTCGGGGTTACCCTATTTTTGACCCTCAGCCCAATTTGCACCCAAAAGGCAGCCCTCAGAAACAAAGACACGGATGTCCTCCATTTAATGAAGTCCCTTGGGAAACAAAACGCATATGTCCAGTTCATAGATACCCTTCAAACCACCAGAAAAAAATGGGAAACATATCTCAAGCAAATGGATCCGCTCATTTGCCTCCTCAAAAGGGTCCGTCAGGACGGGGCCTTCGACTCCGGTCATTTTTGCCTGGGTGGCCATGCACAAGTCTTCAGGGGCTGGTGAAAAAGAAAGAGCCCCTTTTGCGCTTGACCCCTGGCAAACCGTACGCACAATTTGCAAGCCACCGAACCAAAATGGAGGGTGCATTTGAACAACTGTTTTCTTTTTTCCAAGGTCGTCTTCAAAGGACAACCCCATACCGCCCATACCACATGGGCCAATGTGAGGGCATAAGGGGCTGGTCAAGAAGTTACACCTGGATCGAATTCCGCGGTTTCAATGCTCGGCGGGCTTGGCGGGCTCCTGCCACAGTGCAACAAAAAACACGGTTGCAATGAAACGTTTGGGCACGCCAGTTGTTTTTTACATTTTGGTCCAACAAAAAAGGTTCGTAAGTTAGCACAGCGGCCCATCCCTCCTCAAATAACTCAAAGGCCTTTGGACCCCCCAAAACCCAGTTTCATCAACCCACGCCCGTGGGCCCTTTTCCCAAATTGACCATCTTGACCATGCAGGAGGCACCTGAACCCCCTTCCAGGAGCACACGAGTCACACGAGGGCCAACACTTTGCCGCATTTGCGCCTGGCAGTTGCGTCTGTCTACGCCTGCGCCTGGCAGTTTGGCAGATTTGCGCCTGGCAGTTGCGTCTGGCTACGCCTACGCCTGTCAGTTGCGCCTGGCTACGCCTACTTTGCAAGACACCTGGGCTTGGCCGCAGGTCTTACATTATCCCCAGTTGTTCGGTGACTCTAGAAGAAAAAGGGAACTTGCCACTGACTTCCAAACAAGCGTAAAGTCTAGAAACGCCAGGAGAGAGGAACCCGTTTTTGGAGTTGACCATTTTGGGCAGGACCCCTCCAGCCAAAAAGCGAAGAAGCGTGCTTCCGAACAACTGGGTATCCTACTGGCCTGGGTGCTCCAGTTTCGGAACGTCCTGCAAGTCTTGCCTAGTCCCGGAAACCAGCTTGCGACAAGTGATCAAGCCAGAAATTAGGGAAACTCCAAAGGATGTTCATGAGTAAGCTCGCTTAACCCCCAGCTAAGCGCACGTTAAACCGTTAGATTGCCTCAAGTGCCCAGAAGAACATACATCAGGCATCCCAAAACTTGCCGCTGTCTCGAGGGATTCGCCCTGAATGTTCATATGATGGAATGTCACCGATCCCTCGCAACCCAAAAATGATCTTCAAGCTTGACTGATAGAGGTATACGTAGTACTGCGGGTGGACGCACCCTGCACTTGGGATGGATGACGCCCTGTGCATACTGATCTGAACCACGTGCCAACCCGTGCCAATTCACAGGCACGCCTGGGGGCGTGCAGAACAGCTTCAAACGGAACTCTTCACACGCGTGTCCTGGTATTTCAAATCCCGCACATCCATTTGCTGAATCGGCCACAACCCATGTCCTCATCCAAACATAACACATCGACCGGTGACCATCCCTTCAAATCCAAAAGGCAAATCCCAACTTCCAAATTTGGAACTAGCCCTGGAATGGGATTTGTCCCTTACCCCCTGAGAAGAAAGCAACACGTGCTTAAATCGCAGATTTGGGCTGTAATTCTTGCGCGGACAAGGCGGCTTCAAGACGTGACTCGGCTGTGTCCAGCTTGTGCTGGAAAAGGCCTCTTAACTTTGGGGCGCCGGGACGCCGAGCGAACAGGATCTCTGCCCCCGGTGGCAACTCTTGCTCCAAAAAATCTCACACATTGACACCTGCAGGGGGTCGGTGTTCATTTCTTCGAGGCCAGAAAAGGCAAAAACATCCACGCCAAGTCCCTCATCCAACCGGCTGTGGCTCAAAAAACTGATACCAAAATGGAACCTGGTAAGTGGAAACATGGAACCTGCGCAACCCCTGCTGTTTAATTTTGAGCCACACCCAGCCGGAACAAAAAGGAACACAGGTAGTGAGCTGAATTCGGCTCCCGACCTGCTGTGCTCAGAGTCACTTGGCGCTCTTCTGAATCGGCGGCTACAGGGAGATCTTTGAGTTTCTCTGCTCAGATGGGCAGCATGCGTACCTGGAGGTCGGACCGGGGGATGCCCACCCCTAGTTACAGGAAACCGTGGACCATGCATCTCGATGTGGATCCCGAAATAATAAAAAAAAGGTTTTCAAAAGGAAAGTGTTCCTTGGAGAGTTGACATGCCAAATGGATTGGTTTTTTTGGGGACACTTGTAGTTCCCTTTTCCAAGGGCCGAAATTCCTTCAATATGAAGACTCAACAAATTCCTTATCTCAGTCGGGTGTGCCTTTAAGGGTATCCGTTTTGCTTTTGAAGAGCAGAGAGTAGGGTGAATTGAGGCACCCCCAAGAAAAGAGCCTTAGCGCCCAATGTCACGATTTATCAAGAGGGGGTGCTCCCCTCCAATGGTGATGATTGCCCACAAAACCCAAAAACACCCCCCCCTGTTAATAAACAGGGGCTGATTAATATGGGGTCAACGTGATTATAGCTTCTCAGGACTGAGAAGTCTCGTATGTCTTCTCTAAGAACTTGAGGATCCCACTCTCTCGACCTTGAGATTCCCCAAGCGAAATAAAGGGAATCTAGTCTTTCCACGTCTGCCTGTCAAATTGAATGATTGTCGCAAGTCGCAAGGTCCAACAAATGTTCAAACAATATCCAAAACATGGCTTCTAAATTGGTTTCACCCCAAGTCACTCCGAAAGTCACTTCCGTGGATGGCAGGAAAAGACATGTCTTGGAACTTTTCGTCCGCTCAAATGATCAATCCAAAGAGTAGTAGTCCAGAAACCCGCGGAAAATGAGCCTAAAGGACATGAAACGAGGCTTCAACCCCCGCACATTAACCCTCCCCGCGCGCCAGCGGTCATTTGACACCACTTCCACGAGTTCTGCCTGGGATTCGTCTGGACAGTGGCGGGCGCAAGCACCCGCACCCGCACACCCGCACATCCACACACCCACACACCGACAAACGCACCCACACACACACACACATACCGACACACCCACCCACACACACACACACACACACCACATCACATCACATCACGTCACATCGCATCACGTCACATCACATCACCCACACCCACACCCACACCCACACCCACACCCACACCCACACCCACACCCACACCCACACCTACCCGCACATGCACACAAAGTTCTTATCAGTTCGCTCCGAAACAGAGGACAGACAACTTAAGAACTATCCAGCAGTCAAACTCGGGTGCAACCCCAAATGAATGCAACCGAGGTTCAGATTTGCGCATGGTTTGGACATGGATTTAGGCATAGCACCTGTTTGCTAAAATATGTCAATTCGGGGGTGTCATACTTGAAGGAGATGCTTTGCTGTAGTGGAGAACCCTGCTATAAGTCCGACAGAGTCTCTTGCCCGGGCGCATTTTGATTGCAACAAATAGATGGCACTGGCGAGTCGGTAGAACGAAGCTCCAGTGCCATTGATGACCTCAGTGATTATATAACACGAGCCCAGCGCCGTTGGC